ATCAGTGTGCTGTATCCAGGAAACCCATCTTACATGCAAGGATACACAAAGCCTCAAAATAAAGGGATGGAGGAAGATCTACCAAGCAAATGGAGAGCAAAAAAAGGCAGGAGTTACAATTCTCATCTCTGATAAAATAGACTTTAAAGCAACAAAGATCAAAAGAGACAAAGAAGGACATTACATAATGGTAAAAGGATCACTGCAACAAGAAGAGCTAACGATCCTAAATTTATACGCACCCAATACAGGAGCACCCAGATACATAAGGCAAGTTCTTAATGACTTACGAAGAGACTTAGACTCCCACACAATAATAGTGGGAGACTTTAACACCTCATTGTCAATATTAGACAGATCATCCAGACAGAAAATCAACAAGGATATCCAGGACCTGAATACAGACCTGGAACAAGCAAACCTAATAGACATTTACAGAACTCTCCACCCCAAATCCACAGAATATACATTCTTCTCAGCACCACATCACACCTACTCTAAAATTGACCACATAATTGGCAATAAATCACTCCTCAGCAAATGCAAAAGAACAGAAATCATAACAAACGGTCTCTCAGACCACAGTGCAATCGAGTTAGAACTCAGAATGCAGAAACTAACTCAGAACCGCACAGCTTCATGGAAACTGAACAACTTGCTCTTGAATGTTGACTGGATAAACAATGAAATGAAGGCAGAAATAAAGATGTTCTTCGAAACCAATGAGAACGAAGACACAACATACCAGAATCTCTGGGACACATTTAAAGCAGTCTCTAGAGGAAAATATATAGCAATGAGTGCCCAAATGAGAAGAAAGGAGAGATCTAAAATTGACACCCTATCATCAAAATTGAAAGAGCTAGAGGAGCAAGATCAAAAAAACTCAAAACCTAGCAGAAGACAGGAAATAACTAAGATCAGAGCAGAACTGAAGGAAATAGAGACACAAAAAACTCTTCAAAAAATCAATAAATCCAGGAGCTGGTTTTTTGAAAAGATCAACAAAATAGACAGACCACTAGCCAGATTAATAAAAAAGAAAAGAGAGAATAACCAAATTGATGCAATAAAAAACGATAAAGGGGATATCACCACAGATTCCACAGAAATCCAAACCATCATCAGAGATTATTACAAACAACTCTATGCACATAAACTAGTAAACCTGGAAGAAATGGATAAATTCCTGGACACCTGCATCCTCCCAAGCCTAAACCTGGAAGAAGCCGAAACCCTGAATAGACCAATAACATGGTCTGAAGTCGAGGCAGCAATAAAGAGCCTACCACCCAAAAAAAGCCCAGGTCCAGATGGGTTCACAGCTGAATTCTACCAGACATACAAAGAGGAGCTGATACCATTCCTTCTGAAACTATTCCAGACAATCCAAAAAGAGGGAATTCTTCCCAAATCATTTTACGAGACAAACATCATCCTGATACCAAAACCCGGCAGAGACTCAACAAGAAAAGAAAATTTCAGGCCAATATCCATGATGAACATAGATGCAAAAATCTTCAATAAAATACTGGCAAACCAATTGCAACAGCATATCAAAAAGCTCATCCACCATGATCAAGTAGGATTCATCCCGGGGATGCAAGGCTGGTTCAACATACGCAAGTCCATAAACGTAATTCACCACATAAACAGAACCAAAGACAAAAACCACATGATTATCTCAATTGATGCAGAGAAGGCTTTTGACAAAATTCAACAACCCTTTATGCTAAAAACCCTCAATAAACTAGGTATTGACGGAACGTATCTCAAAACAATAAAAGCTATTTACCACAAACCAACAGCCAATATCATACTGAATGGGCAAAAACTGGAAGCATTCCCTTTGAAATCTGGCACTAGACAAGGGTGCCCTCTCTCACCACTCCTATTCAATATAGTACTGGAAGTTCTAGCCAGAGCAATCAGGCAAGAAAAAGAAATAAAGGGTATCCAAATCAGAAAGGAGGAAATCAAATTGTCTCTATTTGCAGAGGACATGATTGTATATTTGGAAGACCCCATCATCTCAGCCCAAAATCTCCTGAAACTGATAAACAACTTCAGCAAAGTCTCAGGATACAAAATCAACGTGCAAAAATCACAAGCATTCCTATACACCAGTAATAGACTTCAAGAGAGCCAAATCAAGAATGAACTGCCACTCACAATTGCCACAAAGAGAATAAAGTACCTAGGAATACAACTAACAAGGAACGTAAAGGACCTCTTCAAGGAGAACTACAAGCCATTGCTCAATGAAATAAGAGAGGATACAAACAGATGGAGAAACATTCCATGTTCATGGTTAGGAAGAATCAACATTGTGAAAATGGCCATACTGCCCAAAGTAATTTACAGATTCAACGCTATTCCCATCAAGCTACCAATGACCTTCTTCACAGAACTGGAAAAAAAACACCTTAAACTTCATATGGAACCAAAAGAGAGCCTGCATAGCCAAGTCAATTCTAAGCAAAAAGAACAAAGCAGGAGGCATCACACTACCGGACTTCAAACTATACTACAAGGCTACAGTAATCAAAACAGCATGGTACTGGTACCAAAACAGAGATATAGACCAATGGAACAGAACAGAGGTCCTCAGAGGAAATACAACATACCCACAACCATCTGATCTTCGACAAACCTGACAAAAACAAGCAATGGGGAAAGGACTCCCTGTTTAATAAATGGTGTTGGGAAAACTGGCTAGCCATGTGCAGAAAGCAGAAACAGGACCCCTTCCTGACACCCTTACACCAAAATTAACTCCAGATGGATTAAAGACTTAAACATCAGACCTAATACCATAAAAACCTTAGAAGAAAATCTAGGCAAAACCATTCAGGACATAGGTGTAGGCAAGGACTTCATGACCAAAACGCCAAAAGCAATGGCAACAAAAGCCAAAATAGACAAATGGGACCTAATCAAACTCCACAGCTTCTGCACAGGCAAAAGAAACAGTCAGTAGAGTGAATCGGCAACCAACAGAATGGGAAAAAATTTTTGCAGCCTACCCATCTGACAAGGGGCTGATATCCAGAATTTACAAAGAACTAAAGCAGATCTACAAGAAAAAAACAAACAAGCCCATTCAAAAATGGGCGAAGGATATGAACAGATACTTTACAAAAGAAGACATACAGGAGGCCAACAAACATATGAAAAAATGCTCATCGTCACTGGTCATCAGAGAAATGCAAATCAAAACCACATTGAGATACCATCTCACATCAATTAGAATGGCGATCATTAAAAAATCGGGAAACAACAGATGCTGGAGAGGATGTGGAAAAATAGGAACACTTTTACACTGTTGGTGGGAATGTAAATTAATTCAACCATTGTGGAAGACAGTGTGGCGATTCCTCAAGGACCTAAAAATAGAAATCCCATTTGACCCAGCAATCCCATTACCGGGTATATATCCAAAGGATTATAAATCATTCTACTACAAGGACACGTGCACACGAATGTTCATTGCAGCACTGTTTACAATAGCAAAGACCTGGAACCAACCCAAATGCCCAACGATGATAGACTGGATAGGGAAAATGTGGTACATATACACCATGGAATATTACGCAGCCATCAAAAACGATGAGTTCACGTCCTTTGTAGGGACATGGATGAACCTGGAAACCATCATTCTCAGCAAACTGACACAAGAGCAGAAAATCAAACACCGTATATTCTCACTCATAGGTGCGTGTTGAACAATGAGAACACATGGACACAGGGAGGGGAGCACTACACACTGGGGTCCGTTGGGGGGAAATGGGGGAGGCGCTGGGGGTGGGGAGGTGGGAAGAGATAGCATGGGGAGAAATGACAGATACAGGTGAGGGGACGGAAGGCAGCAAACCACACTGCCAAGTGTGTACCTATGCAACAATCTTGCATGTTCATCACATGTACCCCAAAACCTAAAATGCAATAAAAAAATAAAAAAATCAAAAAAAATAAAAAATAAAAAAAGAAATTACAGAGGGCTCTTTGTTTCAGAACAGTTCATCACAGGCAAGAAAAGATGCCATTTCCCCAAATGGGCAGATCTTCTCCTCCTCCTCAGGGCCTCAGATTAACAGCCACAAACATGGGCAGGCCCACGGTGAACACTGCTCTCTATTGGAGCTTGCATGGACCCCTGTATTGATCGCTTTAAAGATCCATAACAACACAGCCCCTCCCACGCTGCCAGGCCTGTGGCTACCTGTTACTTCATGCCTCTGGTATTTTCAGCAGTGGCCAGCCTGAATTCACACAGCTGCAGCTGCAGCTGCCAACAGCTTTATGTTTTTGTGGCTGCCAAGACTCCCCTGCACAGCTGTGACCAACCATTCATTCAGCAAAATGTGCTGAGCCAGCCATTCCTATGTGCTAGGCAGTGGCCCAGATGCCCTGGTACCACCAATCACTTTTGGCCTGGAATGCTTTCCTACCACTTTTCCCACCCTGCGGGCTTTAGGGTCAGAGAGATCCAAGATCCATCACTTATAATTTGTGAGATCATGGATTAGTTACTTAGCCTCTTAAGCCTCACTTGCTCTGGATATAAATAATGTAATGTGAAAGTATAACAACGTAAAATGATGTCATATGTAAATTATTTAGCTCAGTGCCTAGAACATAGACTAAAAACCAGAGTTTCTCGACCTCAGCACCACTGACATTTTGGGAGGCATAATTTTTTGTTGTGGAGGTTGTCTCGTGCATTGTAAGATACTGAACAGCATCCCTGGTCTCTACCTATGAGATGCCAGCTGTGACAACCAAAAATGTCTCCAGACATTTCCAAGTGACCCTTGGGAGAAAAATTTGGCCTTGGTTGCGAACCACTATGAGAAAACTAAAATAAAAATTTCTGCTATTACTATCATTATCATCAAAATAATCAGTATCATTGAAAAAGCACATCATTGAAAATTCCAGTTCTGCCTACATGGGAGGAAAGCATGTGGAATCCAGAAAAGTCAGAGAACTGAGCTTACCCTTACAATGATCCTTTCAGAGATGTGGGCAGACAACAGATAGAACTGGTCTTGGTTAGCAGCATACAGTCCAACCACCAACATGAAGTATCTAATTCAGAGATAGCAGACCAATGTCAATGCATCAGGAATGGAGACACGCTTCGTACAATCAAATACCACCCAACAGTTGATCAATAGTGAACTTATCGAGATGAGTTCGCTTATTTAAAGACTTCCTTTTCCCTTCTACTCTAAGTTGTCCCCCCAGTGAAACAAGAGAGTAGTTGATTTACTTGTTATTGTTCTGGGTCAGCACTTTGCCCAGTTGGTGGTATTTGTGAGCTGTTTTACAGGCTCCAAAAGAGCAGGAAAGCAGGCTGCCCCAGGGAGATATCCCAGGAGGGGGCTAGGGTCAGCCTGTCTCCACGCTGCAGTCCTGGGCCCTCAGCACAGCACGGTTTACAAATACAAAAGGAAGCCACCTTAAAGGTCCCTTTGCTCAGAGCTACAGAAGCCACATGGCCTGGGCCTTAACGGAGGCTGACTCCATAGGGTCTGTGCCACCACACCGGATCCTTCTCAGTTCAGCCTGCCCTTGGCCATGTATCCTGTGCCTTCAACATTCTCAGGGCTTGACTTTAGCCAAAGACTCAGACCTCCCCTTCAATTGCTCCCAAGGCAATTTTCATCACTGTTCCTTCAACTGCCTTTTCATACGTATCACTGATGAGACAGTTTTAAGACTAGACCATTTCTTGAAAGTCAAAATTAAAACTATCCTCATCAAAGCTTTTACCCTAAGACCTGCATGAAAAAACTTCACCAACTTCCTCTACAACACTCCTATTCTCCCAGAGAACAAGAGTTTCCCTCTGTATCTAAAGTAAATCAGTAAGAGTAGTAACTGTTATCATTATTAGTATTAGCTACTATCAAGAGCTCAGTGTGTGTGATGTACCGGGCTAAGCAGTTTACCCACATTCAGTCTATTCAGATTCTCAAAACAGCTTTACTGGAGTAGAATATTGTTATTGTCTCTTATTTTACAGGACAGAAAAATGAACCTCAGAAAGGTTAAGTTTTCTGCCCAGGATCACTCACCTAGTAAATGCCAGTATCAAATGGTCAAATTCATTTCTATCCAACTCCAAAACTATGTTCTAAAACCAGCAGTTCTCGAACTTGAGCATGTATCAGTGTCACCTGGGGGGTTTGTTAAAATACAAATTGCTGAGCCCCATCCCCAGAGTTTCTGATTCAGAGTTTTCGATTCTTTGTTAAGGCCCAAGAACCTGCATTTCTAACAAGTGTCCATTTCGGCTAGTCCTGGAACCACACTTTGAAAGGCCACAGGTCTAAATCATGAAAACAAGTTATTTTCTTTTTTAATCAAAAAGGTCATAGCAGAACTTCAGGTCTAGAGGCCAGCACACTGGGTAAGAAATGCAGTCAGTCATCAATCTTTTCAATCTTTGGATGGCAATGAGACATAAACATGTGGCTGCTCTAGAAAACCATGGAGGGAATTGAGCCAGGCTGAATGAGGGCTGGGCAGGAAAGTGTGCATTGCAGGGCATGAGGGTGGAGAAGAAAGATGTCCATGAGTAAAGGAGAAATGTTAATCATCTGAGAGGCAGAGAAAGGAGGCAAGTGGCTTAGGGAGGCCCCGTGTGCTGGCTGGTTTTATCAGGAGGATCAGAGGGGCCCAGGAGGGCACTTCCTGGCCAGATACAGTACCCAGCCATACTGCCATGCACACAGTGACACCAGTACCTCTGGTCTGGATTTGGTTTTCCCTTTTTTCTCATATTATTTGCTGTGGTTTCGCTGAAGTGTAATCGTCCCAGCGTTACTTTGGTGACCTGGTCGGCCAATAGGTCGATTCTAAAACAGACAGCAAAAATCCGAGAGACTATAAGAGAACATGAAATCTCCGATCATATCGAATTCACTTTTAAACTCTCAACTATGTTTGGTTCCCAGTTCTCATCACACTGGGAGAACAGTTTAATCTAATCGCCAGTTATTCACTGAAATCCACAGCGTGGTCTGGAATGGCTGCCAGGAAGGCCATGGAATCCCTTGAAGGATAGGAAATGCTCAGTCAGCAGAAGCTTAAGCCTGGAGCTCCCAACTCACAAGGGCCGTATGCTCCATATACCTGGTATGGATCCTTTTACCTCCGCAATGGGAAGAGAGAGCCTTTCATTTGTGCTGCTGCCGCTGTTGTGATAGCACTCATCTCCTGACTGAAGCAGTTTAGGTCTCACATGAATGCCTTTGCACCCTCTTCATGTATTTGCCTTCTCCTAGTCTAGCAGTGGGAGGCAGCTTCCTCCAAAGGAGGGCCACATACACCCTTCCCAGACAAGGGAGACCCAGCTGTGCCATGCACATTTAGTGCTGCGTTTGTACAAGTGGCTTCTGGTCTGTCCAGGCCATGAGACCATTTTCTTTTCAGCCCAAAGGGGGTTGACTCAGGATCACAACCCTGAGATGTCTCCATTGCATCCCAGCCAAACCAGTCAAAAAGCAAATCCCACTCATTCTAAGTCATCCTACAAAGAGGACTCGAACTTTGCATACTACCAGCTACATAAGCTTTCGCTATTGGAATCCATTCAGCCAGTTATCAATGCAGCTTTAAAGAATAAGAAAAAATGACCTCTAAGCACAGCATGGCTATACAATCTTGAAATTACTTCAATCAACACTATGCTGATTTAAATGAAACATTAAAAGAAAGATCTAGCCATAATCTATCTCAAGAAACTAAAGTTGTAAGGTTTTTAACAAAGCTTTTAGCAATAAATAATATAAAATAATAGCTTTAAAATAGATCTTTTTATAAAGAATTTTTACGATGGTTTCAAACCATAGTACAACTTTATTTTTGTTGATGGACATATATTCATAATATTAACATTAATCCTACATTAACCGCTGGGCACAGTGGCTCATTCCTGTAATCCCAGCAGTCTGGGAGGCTGAGGCAGGCAGATCACCTGAGGTCAGGAGTTTGAGGCCAGCCTGGCCAACATGGCAAAATCCGGTCTCTACCAAAAATACAAAAATAACCTGGGCATGGAGGCGGGTGCCTGTAATCCCAGCTACTCGGGAAACTGAGGCAGGAGAATCGCTGGAACCCGGGAAGTGGAGATTGCAGTGAGCCAAGATCGCACCACTGCACTCCAGCCTGGGCAACAAGAGCAAAACTCAGTCTCAAAAAAAAAATGAAACAAAAAAACAACATTAACATTATTAATTTGGATTCTATGGTAGGCTTCATTTTAAATAAGTGAAATAAATTAGGTAATTATATATATATATATATATATATATAAAATAAAGAAATTAGGTGTTTATTCACAAAACATTCACAAAAGAATTTACAAAGTAAATTCTTACTTAACAGGATTGAAAATGTTTTTGCTCCTATCTGCTTGGGACTGTTCAATAGCAATTATTTGATTGGTGGCTTCTACCTGTATGGAACAATAAAAAGTAGATTAATTATTTAATTTACTTACTTATAAAAATGTTAATTAGCAAAGAATTTTTGAGTATGTAAAAAGTTTTTTGAGGCATCATCCTAGGCAGGAGGGACAAGTCACTGAAAAGACACATAAGACAATAGTCCCAGGCCAGGCGCGGTGGCTCAAGCCTGTAATTCCAGCACTTTGGGAGGCTGAGGAGGGTGGATCACGAGGTCAAGAGATCGAATCCATCCTGGTCAACATGGTGAAACCCCATCTCTACTAAAAATACAAAAAATTAGCTGGGCATGGTGGCATTTGCCTGTAATCCCAGCTACTTAGGAGGCTGAGGCAGGAGAATCGCCTAAACCCAGAAGGTGGAGGTTGCGGTGAGCCGAGATCGCGCCATTGCACTCCAGCCTGGGTAACAAGAGTGAAACTCCGTCTCAAAAAAAAAAAAAAAAAAGACAATAGTCCCTACCTTAACGCAGTGTGCTGTTGATGAGGAAAGAAATAAGTACCTGTGAAATTAAACAATGAGAACACAAGACAACAGAGTATTTCAGTTAAGTAGTGAACACAGAGTGGGCTAGAACATGACTGAAACATCAGGAGCAAGGCAGCTTTTTATTTATTCATTCACTCTAGAAGTACTTACGGAGCACCTACTATGTACCAGGAACTGCTTTAGACGTTAGAGATAAGAACTGAACACAAGAAGCAAAATTTCCTGTCCTTGGGGAGCTTACATTCTACTGTGAAGAAACAATGATATACAATATAATAAATAAAACACAGGAAATAACATTTATTCAGCTTCTGCTACAAACTTCTTGTTCTGTGAATATTGGAAAGGGCCTGTGAGACCAGCCCTGTAATATACAATTCGTGTAATTTTTCTGGAAAGACTGTAAAAAATCTTTCTAGAAAGCAATTGGTGGCCTATATCAAGAGTTTTAATTATGTTTGTATTCATGTGTAAATTCCCCTTCTGGAATGTATCCTTATGCAAAGGTAGGTTTACATGGATGTTCACTGCAGTTTCATTAACAATAAAAAACTGAAAATAAACAAAACTTCCAATAATAAAGGAATTAATATGATACATCCATACAATGGAAAAGTATACATCTTTGTGAACAATATTTTTATGGGGTTCTTAATAATATTATATAATGTGATATTCACAATATAGTATTAGCAATATAAGATTAATTTTAATAACAAAAAAATGAGGAAAAAATAGCTACTGAATGGAGGATCCCAAATAAAAATGAATTTTATCTCTTTTTCATATATTTCTATTATGTTCCAAAATTTTCACAATCAACTCACATTACATTCATAATAATAAAAAGAATGTCTTTTCGTTGCTGGTTTGTTTGATATTTATAAGTATTTTTGTATTTTTTGTTTTGTTTTGTTTAAGAGCTCAGTCTGATGCAAGAGCAGTTGATGTGTGTAGCTGCCAAGCCTTGGTGCCTAAGCCCAGGTTAGCTATCAGAATAAAACATGTAGGCCAGGCACAATGGCTCAGGCCTGTAATTCCAACACTTTGGGAGGCAGAGGCAAGAGGATGGCTTGAGCCCAGGAAGTTGAGGCTGCAGCGAGCCGTGATAAAGCCACTGCATTCCTTTAGGTGACAGAGTGAGACCCTATCTTAAAGACAACAAAACAGCCACAAAAAACAATAAAATAGGCAGATAATGAATGCTACTCCCTCTTAGGAACTGGATATAAAGTTACAATTTCATAAATACTTTTTGATCACTCAGAAGTCATATTACCTGCATTCTGAACCCAGCTCTACCATTTACTACCTTGGATAAATTGTGTAACATTATTGGTTCTCAGCCTCCCTTCTGTTAAACTGTAGAGGAGGGGTATTGACGAAATTAATGACTCCTTGACTTTTTTTAAGTCACAGATCTCTTTGATAATCTGATGAAAATAATGAATCTACTTCATATGGAAACGCATAAACATGAATAAAAATTAAATTATTAAGAATACATTTAGTAAAAGAATTACAAGAGTATTCACTAAAAATGATAAAACTATAGTTTGAAGTGATACTGTGCCATTTTCTGAGCCCAGGCTTACGAAATCAGCATCTTGGCTGGATATGATGGCTCACGCCTGTTATCCCAGTATTTTGGGAGGCTGACGCAGGAGGGTCACCTGAGCCCAGGAATTCAAGACCAGCCTGGGCAACATAGTGAGACCCCATCTCTACAAAAGCAGCCACACTCCTGTGGCATCAGCTACTTGGGAGGCTCCCGTGTGAGCCTGGGAGGTCAAGGCTGCAATGAGCCATGATCATGCCACTGCACTCCAGCCTGGGTGGTAGAGCAAGATCCTTTCAGAAAGAGAGAAAGAGAAAGAAAGAGAGAAAGAGAAAGGGAGGGAGAGAGAAAGAGAGAAAGAGAGAAAGGAAGGAAGGAAGGAAGGAAGGAAGGAAGGGAGGGAGGGAGGGAGGGAGGGAAAAGGAAAAGAAAAAGAAAGAAATGGACACTTCACTTGTCTTGCAATGTTTATACTTAGAACCCACCCATCATACTGTGAAGAAACACAAGCTATCCCATAGAGACGTTCACATACAGAAGAGCTGAGTCTTGTCAGTTAGAGCCCCGTTTGAGCTCCAGTTGATGGCCAGCACTCAACAGGCATCTGAGTGCTTGAAAACGGCCCAGTTAAGCTGCCCCAGTTGATGACTTCTGAACAGAGATGAGTTGTCATAGTCACACCCTGACCCAGTTGCAGATTTGTGACCAGAAATAAAGATTATTATTTTAAGTCATTTTGGGATAGTTTGTCATGCAGCAAAGACAACAAGAACAAAATAAATGACTTATGTAAACAGAACTAAATAAAAGACGTACCTTAATGCCAAAAGCTTTCAAGTAAAACATTTCTATTGGCTTTAGGCCCATCTGGGTTTCAACAAATTTTGGGCTTCCCCAAACTTGGATGTGGATGGTTATCTGAAAATGATTCTTTTTTTGGCAAACAAAAGCTTCATCTGCTGGTGAAAAATTAAATCCTTTGTCTGTTACAACTCGATAGCCCACATCAGGTCTATGAAAAGGAAACCAAGAAACCAGTTTTACAAATGTTTTCTACATATTTCTTTTCATTAACAATATTAATTGTATAAACATTTCAGGAAAGTGCACTGTGAAAAATGCCTTTTGCTGTATTTAATCAATTGATTTCTTGAATTTTTAATGAGGAAATAAAAATAACATTTCCAAACACAGCTGGCTGTTTCCAAGCTTTTTATTTTCTCACAAAGAAGTACAATCTTTTTTTTTTTTTTTTTTGAGACAGAGTCTTGTTCTGTTGCCCAAGCTGGAGTGCAGTAGCACAAGTGCTCACAGCAACCTCGGCTTCCTGGGTTCAAGCGATTCTCCTGCCTCAGCCTCCTAAGTAGCTGAGACTGCAGGTGAACATCGCCACGCCTGGCTAATTTTTGTATTTTTACTAGAGATGGGGTTTTGCCATGTTGGCTAGGCTGGTCTCAAACTCCTGACTTTAAGTGATCCCACCTGCCTCAGAATCCCAAAGTTCTGGGATTACAGGCATGACCACCGCACCTGGCCAGAAGCACAATTCTTGCCAAATGGAAGCATTCTTTTTTCAGATGGCCTTTCCCCTTTGTGCTTTCTAGACTCTTAATTTGACTCCCTAATACTATAGAAAGATGTAGACTAGATGTTGAGAAGTCAACATGTTATTCAGACTTGTGAAATATCTAAGGTAAAATTAATCTCTTTTCTCCTTTAGAAAAAAAAAAGGTCTTTAAATTTCACCAGTAACAATATATTTAAGAAGACACTCAGATGAAAGAATATTCAGCCTATTGATGATCATATGGAAAAGCAGACTTTGCAGAATTACCAGGAATAGCTCTTAAATCAACCAGAGCCAGTTATACAATTGATTGGAAACCTGTTTTCACTAGAGTATGGTCATTTCCTTTTTATTCTCACAATTTGGTAGAGGCACTGAAAACCTACTAGGGCTGTTACTTCTGCAGAAAGAAATGGGATAGTGGTGAGGTGACTAATCAAAAATTTGCTTTATTTATCACTGGTATTTCCAATAGGAATGCTTTGTATATATAAGTTGAGCATCCCAAATCTGAAAATTCCAAATCTGAAGTGGTCCAATATCCTAAACATTTTTTTTTTTTGTGATGGAGTCTCACTCTGTCACCCAGGCCAGAGGAGAGTGGTGAGATCTTGGCTCACTCCAACCTCCACCTTTAGGGTTCAAGCAATTCTCCTGCCTCAGCCTCCCGACTAGCTGGGGCTACAGGCGGACACCAGCACAAGCAACTAATTTTTGTATTTTTAGTAGAGACAGGGTTTCACCATGTTGACCAGGATGGTCTTGATCTCTTGACCCCGTGATCTGCCCGCCTCAGCCTCCCAAAGTGCTGGGATTACAATCTTGAGCCACCGTGCCTGGCCAATCCTAAACTTTCTGTACACCAACATGATGCTCAAAACAAATATTCACTGGAGCATTTCAGACTTCAGATTTTTGGATTGGGGTGCTCAACTGATAAGTAGAATTCAATCTTCCAAAATCCATATAAGTTCCCAAATCAGAAATACTTCTGATCTCAAACATTTCAGATAAGAAATACTCAAACTGTAATAGGTTTAATGAAATAATTCTAAAATGTTAATAAAAAGAAAACATTAAGTGTATATTATCAAATAGAAAATATAAAAGTTGAAAACTTCTTTGGTGAATTTTTCCCACGCATGTTGAAAATATGCAGCAGGATTTGTAATTCATCAAGCTTCCTAAATGCGGGTTTCTTCTCTCTACAAGCAGAGGAGGGCAGTACTCACTACTGTACGGATCTTTGCATCCTGGGATCTCAATTTGAACAGCTGCTATTATAATGAATAACACAGAGTTTCTAAATTTTCCTCTAATTCTGGAAACAGAAAATATTACTGGGTCTCTTGGGAGAAGAGTGTTCATGTTCTTTGCACCTCCCCAATGGATCAAGTTATTGAGTCATTGATTACCCTTAAGAAGCCAATCAGTCAAAGCCTCCACAATCACAGTGCCTGTCAGCAGCAAAAAGAAAATCCACTGAATGAAGAATTTGATAAAGACTACATGTCTTATGCCATCTGGAAACTTCTTATTGACTCAGGTTTCTAGAATTAATTTGCTAATTTGTTCATATAAAGGCTAGATGGCCAGAACTATATAGATTTTACTACAGAGGGTAATAAGAACTGTCTTGATTGAGGAAAAAAAGGAGATTCTTTGGTGATGCTTCATGCTTCACCATCAAAAACTCTGAAGAAAAAAGTACAGTTAAGCTATGAGCATCAGCCTGAAATTTAGGGTAGCTGTAATCAGAAATGGAATCAATCAACAAGAATTATACTGTTGATGATTATTCTGAACCTTAAACATCAATCTCTGATTATAGAAATCTGTTTACATAAAAATGGCAATTCTGCTTTTGATATCAAAAGTATAAAAGCAATTAAACTGGCTTTTTAAAAGTTCTTTGATAGCATTGAAACATTATTCAGAAAAAAATTAATAAAATTCGAATGTCCTAACTGTAATGCTTTTAGGTAACTTAAGAAAATGATACTCTTGGAACAAATTAGACCTGATTATATAAGAAAAGATAGGTGTTTTTCTGTCACATTGATAAAAGCAGTGAAATTAGGAAGGCCTGAATTCTAAAGGAAGGTAAATATTGCCTTCCTTTTTTGCTTAGAAAAAGTGAATCATTGCTAAATATTCTACATAAATCTGCCTCTATACTTTTGAGTTTATATAATCTGTGCTCTCCTTTTTTCCCATATCCTCTGTGTTCTCCATTTTTTTCTAGATTATTGAAGTTGAGATAGGCTGTTCAAACAAACTTAAAAATGCTTTTAAATAAGAAGAGAGCTAATAACACTTACCTTGAAATCTTGATCAACTTGATGCATACAGCCTGGGAAGCAGTTAAGTTTTAATTAAAACATTGAGCCTGTGTGTGACAGCTTCATACCTCGGTTATCATATTTCACATAGAACACGGAATGTTCCCCAAAAGATAATGATGGCCAAGCCTCAAAGCCAAAACCCATGAACCCCTCATTTCTTTTTTTAATTGTACACAGTAGAAAAGACAAAAAGTCATGACATTTCAATGATACAATGAGCAATGAGCTTCCTTTAGCTTATTAAACACACTAACTCCCAAAGTCTAACTCCCTAGATTTTGTTTTAAGGAAAATATTTCTTCCTCTTAGTACATTCAATATAAAAGTCCTAGTAATAAGCTTTACCATATTTGAATTTGGATAATTTTTAAAAGCCCTCTATAACTATAGCCCAATGAAAATTTTAGAAGACTTAAGTAGGTAAATTACATGCTAGGAAATAAAAAAAGTTTAGAGGATGTTTAAGAGTAATAATATAGGAGTCCACATTTATTTCTTGAAACTATATTAGGTCATAAAAATAGGGTGAAGCTTTTCCATTTCTTTGGTATGTTTTGTATTATTTAACTTCAGACTCCTTAACACAAAGAAACCATCTACCATGATTCCTGCAGGATATATTGTCAAAAAACTTGGTGATATTCATTCACAGCATATATGATGGGGTGGTCACTGGCTCACAATTTAATGTGGCCCTCAGAAAAGTATTTTATAGCCTTGTAAATTACCTGCAGGATTAAATGTTGGGGATTTGGGGAATGTCTATATTCCAGTTTTTAAACTGGTATGCGATCCCAGAAAGATTCCTTCTTTCTCCATCATTTAGTGGTTAAATTATAATCAAATAGAATTATAAGTCTGGCTTTCTGAAGGCCAGAAACCCATGCCCCAACTATGTATTTGTTAGGATGCAAAAACTGAGGAATAAGACAGACACTTTCTCATCAACTTGCCCCACTTGAGCACAGGTGGCATCAAAGCTCCAGTGCTTGAACTCAGTACTGAGCTTTGGCACTGTCTTTCTCCCCACACTCTCCAGCCCACCCAAGGCCACTTACAGTTTTTCATAATGACTGTTTAATAAGCTGTGCCAAGGAACACTATGGTATGGCTGCCACTTCAGAGCACGAGAGCACTGGTCTGTAGGCATCCCGTTCTGTCCCTCACTGTCAGGATCCTGGACTTCACTGCTGTGACTCCTACTTGTCACTGCAAAGAAACAGGTGGGTCAGAGCCTTCCTTCCAGGCTGTTTTTCCTAGACTCACAGCTAGCAGCATGGTGCTAATGAGAGGGCCATGTGTAAGGCAGAGTGACTGGGCAAGTGTCATGTGCTGGGGGTAGGTGTGCTGCTGACCTCATTTTCTCATCTGTAAAAGGAGCAGCCTAGGGTCAGTGATGTCAAAGGGTGGGGGTGAACCCTTGTTTGTAACATTGTCCCTAATATCTATCTGCCCTACAAACTGCATAGCTTCTCTTCCTTTTCACTCTGTGGGGTTGCAGTGAAATCCACTCCCAGAGCCAAGAGGGTAGGTGACCCAGTTCAATCAAAGTACAGCATTCAGCCCTTGCATCAGTAACTGCAGCAGCGGTGGACTTGTGGCCTATCCCAATTCAAGCAGAGTGGATCTCAGCATTTCGGGGATGCTCATTCTTCTCCATGAGGTTTGAACCTGCAAGATACATCCCCAACAGCTGCTGGCACCATTTGGGGACATGAGGGAAAGGCATATGGGAATGATGCCAGCATAGCCGAAGGCAGAGTTAAAAATGAAGGGCACCCAGTCCTGAAGATGTCATCTGAGTTCCGGGACCCAATTCTAAACCTTCGGGTTACAGGAGCCAATAGATTCCTTGATTTTGTTTTTTACTTGTTTTGTTGTTGTTAGTTTGCTTTTTTTGCACAAGGCAGTTTGAGGGGTTGCTGTTTTTTTAAATTTTGGGTTGTTTTCTTCATTGTAACCAATCTGTTTTGATTTTGGCAGGTCTTTTGTGGCTCTAAGATCCTGTGGTCCAGCTTTTTGAACTTAAAGCAGTTATTCACTTGGTGTCTTACTTCCCTCAACTGCAAAATAGAAATTAAAAACATGTGTCATGCCATCTTTACACATCACAGCATTACATGAGCAGAGAGAATGACATAATGGAAGTGAAAGCACTTTCAGAAGCTGGAACCAAGATAAAGTAACAGAGAAAATCTTGTTAGTGTGCAATATCAACTGTAGAAAACTGCCACTTTTCTATGTCAAAAATGGTCAAATAACAGCAATTTCACAAGTGCAACCTACTATTCTGCATAATCTTTGCAACTTGTCTTAATCTGAGTATGCCTCCTGAACCATATGGATTCAACCTCAGATAATTTTATGTAAAATGGTATTGGCATGGTTGCTGTTCCTTTTAACTCCTCTACCATCACTCATGCTTGGCATCAGGAGGGAATGGGAAATAGTGGGTGTTTGTGAGACCAGGTTCAGGCTGTCAGTAACAATGTGCAAATAGGACATCAGCTCCTATTGAATGTATCCTCTTAGCTCACAGCTTACAGAATACAGGAGAAAGGAGCTGAGTTGTTTTTTAATCATCAAACTTTTCCTTTCTTTATACTTCCATTGAGGACTTCCTAAAACAAATAAATAGAGCTACTTTTCATCCCAAATGTTAAAAAAAAAACCCAACTATTTCTCTTGGGGTATTGCTATTAAATGTCACTTAAGCGAAATATGCATTTTTTTTGTTTTCATAAAACACCAATTTTAGGAAGATTTCTCAAAACCCTGAAAAACTTTTTTCCCAGCTATAAACACATGAAGTGGACAATGCAAGGAGCTCTTCATGCTCTCACTCCTCCAAAGGCTACCTGGTCTAAAATATTTTCAAAAAAACAAAGAAAGAAAGAAAGAAAGAAAGAAAGAAAAGAAACATCCTGCTTACACCAAATTGAGAGAAAGAGAGAACGTAATTCTTTCTTTCTTATCTTCTTCTCTCCTCCAATGGAGAAAGGGCCAAAGAGCTTGGGAGTTTCAAATCGAGACAGTCCTGGGTTTGAATGACAACTCTACACTTAGGGCTAAAGCAATCTTACAAAAATGATTTAAGCTCTGTGAGCTTCAGTGTTTTCATCTGCAAAATGGGACTAATTATGTTACCTCTCGGGGTTGTTGAAGGGTTTCAAGGAGGCCATGACTGGGAAGTGCAGAGCACAGTGTCTGCCACTAGTAAGAGTTTAAGCAACGGTGCCTTCAGCTATGACCAGTGGCACTGTCATCATCACTGTCCTTGTTTCAACATGTGTAGCTCAGTGTTTCCTAAGAAGTCTTGGGAAATACTTCTGTTCTTGGCCTCCATGGCAGCTCTATCTAATGTGAAATAACTAACCCATGTGCCTGACTGAATACCAGCGAAATCATGCACTTTCCTACCCAAGCGTGGCAACAAGGTCAGTGTTCCCAGGCATGCAGTCAAAAGCCAGCTCTACTCCTCCAGACACTGATGGGGAAGGTGGACGGGAGATTGTCCTAAAAAATAACAGCATTTCCTGCCTTTGTCATCACAACAGTAAGGGTATCAGAGCAGCCGCTCCAGTAGGGGTGACACAGCTATGCCTTCCCTGGAAGATGGCTATCCGCTGGGAGATCCCTAGGGAACAGAATATGGGATTACAGGCCCACACTGAAACCCAAGGCACACACCTGAGGCTAGCTAGAACTTATTCATATCAATACGACTAACAATGTCTGCTACTTTGAGGGCTTTCTACACACAGGTGCTTTCCCAGACACTTTACACAGTATTCCAACAGCTCCTTAAATTATTTCCCAGGTAAGAATCTTTTGTTCCATAAACGTTCTTTTTTGAAGGACACTGTACATCAAGAAGAGTACACAGATCATGAGTACACAATTTTATAATTTACGAAATGATCTAATGGTACAGGACCCTTTTAGCCCTCCAGGGGATACCACATGACCCCTACCAATAATTAGTCTCTCCTGCCCAAGACTGACCACTACCCTAAAATCTAACACCATAGCACAGTTTATAGAAATGGAATACTATGATATAATATATAATCTTATATGCTGAGCTGGCCTCTTTTTCTTTTTAAGACAGGGTCTTGCTCCATTGCCCAGGCTGGAGTGCAATGGCACAATCATAGGTCACTGTAGCTTCAACTTCCTGGCTGAAAATATCCTCCCACCTCAGTCTTCTGTGTAGTTGTGACCACAGGTACGTGCCACCACATTGGCTTTTTTTTTTTTTTTTTTTTTTTACTTTTTTGTAGAGACAGGATCTCACTTTGTTGCCCAGACTGGTCTCAAACCTCTGAGCTCAAGCAATCCACCCACCTCGGCCTCTCAAAGTGCTGGGATTACAGACATGAGCCACCATGCCCAGTGTCACTGGCCTCTTTTGCCCAACAGTATGTTTATGGGATTCATTCATTAGTGTTGCAAATGGCAGTCCTTTGCTCAATCTCATTGCTGTATTGTACTCCATTGCATAAATATACTGCAATTTATCTTGATGTTGATGGCCATTTGGGATCTTTTTAGTTTTTGGTTGTTGTTAAGTAATGCTGCTCTGGACGTTTCTATGCATGTATTTGGTGGGCATATGTGCACATTCCTGCTAAGTATACTTCTAGGTGTGGAATCACCAGGTTGTAGGACATGCTTTAGTAGATACTGCCAAAAAAAAATTCCTAAGTGGTTACGAGATAAGGTTTCTTAATCTCATTTAACAAATGTGGAAACTGACTTTCAAAGACCTGAAATAACTTTACCAGTGTCACAGCTGTTAAATGGAAGAGGTGGGATTCAAACCTTCCTCTTCACTTCATGCTAGACTGAGGATCTCTTGAGAAAATCTAACAGAAGTGAGAATGTAAAAGTAGCAAACTGCCTAAGTCCAGACCTTTTGGAGAAAACTGATAGCTTGCATTTGAATGCTTTTCAAATCATGTTTGCATAACTTACTTTAAAAAGTCTTAGAAATGAGTAAAGTCAAAATTATTATTCTCATTTCATAATCAAGAAAAATAAGGCTCTGAGAATCCCAGATTCCTGGAGAGACAAGACAGGTACTTTTTCAGATGCTGCAGTGTGAATTCAGCCAGTGTACCTCTTACTGGGGGCTGCTGGCCATGACTCTAAGGCTGGAAAACACTTTGTGTTTAAGCTTCAAAATAACAGAGGGTTGAAGCCTCCCAGGGAGGCCATGATCCCTTTTTTTTTTTAAGTTGGGTTTTAAAATTACTTTGACTATAACTCATTTTTATTTATTTATTTAGAGACAGACTCTTGCTCTGTCACCCAGGCTGGAGCGCAGTGGTGTGATCTTGGCTCACTACAACCTCCGCCTCCTGAGTTCAAGTGATTTTCCTGCCTCAGCCTCCCAAGTAGCTGGGACTATAGGTGCGTGCCACCACACCTGGCTAATTTTTGTATTTTTAGCAGAGATGGGGTTTCGCCACGTTGGCAAGGGTGGTCTTGATCTCTTGACCTCGTGATCTGCCTGCCTTGGCTTCCCAAAGTGCTGGGATTATAGGCGTGAGCCACCACGCCTAGCCGAACCCTTTTTTTATTTGGGGTTAAGACCAAGTAGGGCCAGGAACCAGCTGGTAGGAGCCTGCCTACCAGCACTTCCTCTCTCAGCAAAATTTTACATTTGCCCACACCAACCCAGTGATTCTACATTTTCAGGCCTATAAAGGGGGATCTTGGAACCTTTGAGCAAAGTGTACTACTTGGGAGGATGGCACTAGAAAAGTTTTATTGATTAATTTAAGACATTTCTGATACAAAATCAGTGATCCTTCTGTCTATAACACTAGCATAATCTTTTTCTAGCAATGTGCTGCTTCCCCAGGACCTTTGTAGAAACCCTTGGCCCCTGCAACATCAAATAGGAATTATTGACTAGAAAACTTTTGCTAAAAATACAAAATGTAGTAAGAATGTGGCATGTGGATTAACTACATGCTTTGTTTTATGTCTTTCTTATTTTTTGTTTTTTCTTTTTTTTGGTCCTGAGAACGTGCTCACTTTCATGCTGGAACTGTTGTCCGGAATCAGTTATCTTTACTCAGCTTTTCAGTGACCTGTGAATAGGACTTAAACAAGGGATACAGAATTTCCTATCTGTTGGAAATCCTAGTAATTTCAGTCACTCTTCCATAGTTGTTCTCTGAAGTTGGTGAAGAATCAATGGCCTTTCTGGGGCAGGCAGCAGAAACCCATCACAGGATGGAGCTTAACTCTGGGATGGCCAGGACAATTTGAGCAGCAATCTGGTTTGACGAGGAAATTCTTGGATGACTTGTCCTGTATCCCTTAGTGAGCTAGTACATCTGCAGTAGAATGAACAGATGGTTCCCCCGTCTGGCTAGGAATTTACTCAGCCTTTTATGTTTGAGAATCATAAAGAAAGCTGCAGGCTAGATGTGGGGATCCCTGAAGAAATTAGGGTAGCCTTGCATGGGAAGGTGGATGGAGAGCTCTATCTTATCCACAAACGGGGCTTTAATTAGCATTTTGTGTTTCTAAGGTTGGAAAAAAAAAATGGTGAGCAACTGCTGACCATGTTGGATGCATATAAAAAGAAAGGAGGCAGTTTGAGGTTCAGTGGATGTGAGGGATGGATGCCCAGTGCAATTCTGAGACCGCACTCCTAGGAGGTGGGTGGGACTTGACTGACAGGGTGAAGTCAGCATCCACAGAAGGCCTCCACAGCCCATGCTGGAGCTGACGCCAGAGGTCCCTCCGAGAATCAGATCTTACCATGTGCTGGTAAAGGCAAAGGCAGAAGCCCCAGCTGGAGAGATTGTGTCTTTTCCCACTTGGGTGAGTCCACACATCTCCTTTCTGGACAGTGTAAACCTCTAGAGTCTGGGGACAATGGTGGGATGGGAGGCCCAAGAAGGAAATCTTCAACCTTTTGCCAAGCTGACAAATGCAGACAGAAAAAATGGGACTTGGTACGGTGAATTTGTTCACACTGCCCACATTAGCCATTTACAGTGGCTAACAGAACTGGGTTGAGGCCAGACACAGTGGCTCATGCCTGCAATCCAAAGACTTTGGGAGGCTGAGATGGGAGACTCACTCAAAGCCATGAATTCGAGATCAGCCTGGGCAACTTAGTGAAACCCATTTCTACAAAAACAAACAAACAGAAACCGGTCTAAAGTGTCATCCTTTACCCTTAGTATATGCCATAGCATTTACTCTAAAAATGTTGAAGTTCAGGTCTTTAGACTTCAAAAGCCTACTTTGTTACTCATGTCTCTTAGCTCAAAACATGACATGTTAACACGTTATATAAGACAAAAAACGACAACAACAACAACAAACAAACAGGTAGGCTGACCACTTGGGCATTTGATGACTTGGTTAAAGACTGCTAAAAGGATTTTACAAAATTTCAAACATCCACTGGGAACTTCCCAATTTGAAGTCAGTTTGAGGAAGAGTTCAACTTTCCACCTCCCTGTTCTAGCTTCTCAGAGTGCCTTCCATGAGCCAGCAGCATCGCTATCACCTGGGAGCTTGTTAGAAATGCAGACCTCAGACCCTAGAGACTGAATCAGTCTGCAATTTACCAACATCCTCCAGCTATTTTGTGCACATTAAGGTTGAGAAGGATTGCAACATTGCAATGGCCTCTTGAAGACGCTGCCACATCGCACAGCTTCCACAGGCCTGGAGCCTGGATCCCCTGAGACACATTGTCCCTGAAATTGAAAGACTGGCATTTCACCTGCACCCGAGAGAGAAAACCGCATCTCTTCCTTGGAGGATCTTTGAGACCCTGCCTGCATGAAAGGTATGTCAAGAGGAAAGAACCAAACTCCCAGAGCCTATCATTGCTCTCCTCTGAGAAGGAAACTTTTGTAGGGCCGCTCAAAGGCTGGTAAAAAGCCTTGATTTAATGCAGAAGGCTTTGCTGGCATTGCCCTTGTGCCCGCCCAAGTTTGCTCACTTGGTCTGCAGTGGTGGGCCCACACTCGGCAGTCCCCGGAGTCTTCCAGTGCCTGCGTGCACTTTCTCTTCTTGGTTGGAGGTAATGAGGCTCTAAAATCAAGACACCAAAATGAAGGTTAGGATTCTTCCTTGTGCACCATGTTATATTAAATAAAACGTAATCTCCCAGGTCACTGCTCTCTGCTTTCCTAAGTCTAATTCCAATTAGTTAAGGTTCTTTGAGCCTTACTAGGCTGAAACTCAGTTTTCCTTGATCAAGTGGACCTGAGATTCACCAATATGAAAGATAAATTGAATAATAAATTACAATGGCAGAGTACTCATTGAGACAGAGAAGATATAGACTTAAAATATAGGTATACATCTTACACACGACAATTTTTTTTCACGTGGAGTTTTACCACAATTTTTGATGGCCCTTACTCTTTTTGGCACCCTCTAGATCCAGAAGAGGGAATAAAAGAAAGAAAAGGAGACAAGACAGGAGAAAATAACATTCGTTAATGCTTAATTAGCAGATATTTCTTTAAGAGTTCATTCACAATTCCCTTTGATAGTCTAGCTGCGGCTGCATACGCACAATCAGTGTTTCCTCCATCATCCAGAACCTCACTGACATTTTAGCTTTGGGTTGAATGAGGACCTTGGATTTAGAGGGTTTTTAATTAAAAGATTGTCTAAGCCGAGAACACTGGGACCTCGCGACGTCCTATATACGTCTAAACACTGCCATCTCCTGGACAGGACTCCACTGTGCAGTCTTTCTACCTCCCTGCCAGAGGCAGCCTGCTCCGAGGCTTTCTGCAGAGATCTTTGATGACTAAATGTCTTTTTCTTTACCCAGGGCTATGGCACAGAGGCTGCGGATGGTAAGAACAACTTATCCCCATATGGGAGGACACGGATTGGTCCAGGGGGGTGGCAAGATGACTGGCGTTTGAGTGGCAGCTGTGGAAGCCTCCGTGGATTTGGCTGGAGTCGCCCATTCCAGAGGTGACCTGCAGCGGGTGCACAGGCGGCATCGCAGGGGCAGCTGCGGGGTGGAGAAAAGGAGCTGGGGTCCTCCCAGTTGTGGGCCTTGGAGTCCGGTAGCAGGCACCTGGGGAGAGACACAAGCAAGAAGTGCCCCTTTCTCACCGGCCAGAGTCCAGGAAAAAGAGCAACAGTGCAAGATGTGCGGAAGGTGGGTCCCACTCACCTTTGACCTGCGGAGGAGAGCAGGAGTCAGATGCAGAATAGGGTGGGGTGACTGGGAACTGCCGTTGCCTGAAGATTAGAGACATGCATTGCATTTTTGTTTCACTCTATTATATTTTTGTCACAAATAGGAGGCAACCCTCAGTATACAGCCCCCACAATGTTGGTTCCAGGTGCTGGGCGTGCAGGCATCTGAGGGGCTTGGGAAATGGGGTCCCATCAGACCATGCCCAGGGTCATGTCCTGGCTAAGTGAGCGGGCTTTGGATCCCAGCTCCTCCACTTCCCAGCCGTGTATCCATGAACAAGTACTTAACCTCTCCAGGCCTCCATTTCCTTACCTATAAAATGGAAGTAATCATTACATCTACCTCCCGGCATTGTTGTGAGAATTAAATGAGATCATGTATATAAAGCCCATAACATAATGTCACGAACATAGTAAGTGTCCAACAAAGTTTAATGTTATTGCTTCTTATAAAGACGGGACAAATATTTAAAGTGATAGATATCCCAATGGCACTGACTGGATCTTTACAAATTACATGAATGTCTTAAATTATCACATTTACTCACCCATATATATACGTCTATTACCTATCAATACATTTTTTAAAATAATTACTTCTTAGCACTCCTAAATCAGAAAAAAAAAAAAAAAAATGGTTGCACCTACTGTTTGGGCCAGGACAATGTAAATTGCTGTCCCTAGAGTAATGATTTTCCATTTGTGCTCCAGGGGATCCCAAAGCTCTTGAAAGGAGCTGAGGAGTTTTATAACAAGAACACTTAAATGGCTGGGGAGAAAACAACTTTTTCTGTTTGTTTGTTTGGAGACGGAGTTTCACTCTTGTTACCCAGGCTGGAGTGCAATGGCGCGATCTCGGCTCACCGCAACCTCCACCTCCTGGGTTCAGGCAATTCTCCTGCCTCAGCCTCCTGAGTAGCTGGGATTACAGGCATGCACCACGATGCCCAGCTAATTTTTTGTATTTTTAGTAGAGACAGGGTTTCACCATGTTGACCAGGATGGTCTCGATCTCTTGACCTCGTGATCCACCCGCCTCGGCCTCCCAAAGTGCTGGGATTACAGGCTTGAGCCACCGCGCCCGGCTCGTTTTCTGTTTTATATATTGAAGTGCAAGTAAAATTTTATTTCATTCATTCATTTATTTATTTGAGATGGATTTTCACTCTGTCACCAGGCTGGACTACAGTGGCATGATCTCGGCTCACTGCAAACTCTGCCTCCCAGGTTCAAGCAATTCTCCTGACTCCCTCCCAGGCAGCTGGGATTACAGGTGCCCACCACCACACCTGGCTAGTTTTTGTATTTTTAGTAGAGATGGAGTTTCACCATTTTAACCAGGCTAGTCTTGAACTCCTGACCTCAAGTGATCTGCCCGCCTTGGCCTCCCAAAGTGTTGGGATTACAGGCATGAGTCACAGCACTTGGCAGTAAAATTTTATTTTTAAAAAATGTGTACTACCACTAAAGAATTGTGAACATCTCTTTTCCAGAAGACCCACAAGTTGCTTAGAGCTCAGCATCTCTATAATGCTGCATCACACTTAAGCACCCCAACCTCTACTCGATTCTCCTTCTTGGAGAGGAAGCTTCAAGTTTAGAATGTTGTTTAAAAATCCAACATGATATGATGAAAAGTTTGCTTTTATCATTTACCAGAAAAGTTATGTTTTCTCCTTAAATTAGTTCCTTATAATTTATTCACTTCCTATTAATAAGAATGAGAGAAAATACATCTACTCTCCTCCAAAAACTCCACTCAAATGAATGTAAAGAAATAAAGAGACGTAAACACCAAAGCATATAGAGAACATGAGCAAAGACCCCAGAAGACCAAATTTCAATAGCATGGCAGCAGACAGAAATAGGATGGATGGTAACTCAACCAGTAGAATGGAAACACACACAGACACACACACACACACACACACACAACCAAGACTGTGCCTGGAAATGGTGGAGGGAACAGAGGGAGCCGATAAGAAGTTTTCCAATCAAAACTCAAAAAGCCCAGGACACAGAAGTCACCATGACCTTCTGCCTTCAGGGTTAGGGTGGAGCTGAAAACCAAGGATTGGTTAAACATCTGAACAAGAAACAACTAGACCCTTAGACCAGCTTCCCCACTATAAAGCTACCTCCATCACCCCAGCAGAAGTTGGAAAGGTTTACACTCTAGAGAAAGGACCCCAGGGAAACTGTGAGACAGGGTTACCATGCACAGTTAATGCTGTAGCTGAGCTACTGGGCTGAAAAATGGAAGAACTCATTAAAAATCTGAACACTAAACTCTGAATCTCTTCCTTAACTCTGCTTTGCATGCATCCAAGCAGATTTCCCACAAGTAATAAATTGGAATACTGTTCCCAAGAAAAACTGAATGTACTCGAGGAAAACGTAGTATTTTGAAGTTACCAAGGAAATACCCATCACCTGCCTGATCACTCTACCAAGAACAATGGTTTGCACACAGAACTTCTTAAACAGGAACAAATAAAGGACCAGACATTTTGAGAAAGCCTTTAACATTAAAGACAGAGAACAAAACCAGATAAATAGGGAATGCTAAAGAATCACAAAGAGCTCTTTCTGGTTTTTTCCTTCTTATATAACGTGTAAACTACTACCAGATCTGACCCTCCCATAGAGAAACACTCCAAACGCTGGAAATAGTTTAAAAACAAAAATAAAACAAAACGAAAAATACCACCTACCCAAAGACACTGGAAACTGGACAAAAGCAAGGAGATTCTGGAGGGCGTTGAGCTTGGAGAAGGGACTGGCATACAGTGAGTTTCTTGTTTACGGCATTTAGTCTGAGGGCTGGTTGAAGTCAGAGCCACAGGACAGCTAACCTCCGATAGAAATCCACAGCCTTTCTGGCCTGAATAACCAGAAAACAGATCTTGGGGCAAACTCAGCTGATGAAAAGTGACAGAGAATCTCGGAAAAGGAAGGTAAGAGCAGGGGACCCCCAGATTCTGTGTATAACTCTGCCAAGTATTTTGCTGATCCCTGAGTCACAATGTATGGGGCAGACTGCGCACAACCCAACCAAAGAAAACAGGACTAAACAGGACTTGAATCTAAGCAAAGTGATTGACTACTAAAACAAAAGTATACATATTCTTCTGAGGAATATAAAAGAATCCAGCCATTCCCAATGCCCAGGTAAAAACTCTACACCAGCAATCCCCAACCTTTTTGGCACTAGGGACTGATATCATGGAAGACATGGATGTAGTAGGGGTGGGGATGGTTTCGGGATGGAACCGCTCCATCTCAGATTATCAGGTGTTAGATTTTCATAAGATGCATGCAACCTAGATCCCTCGTATATGCAGTTCACAGTAGGGTTCCTGCTCCTAAGAGAATCTAATGCCACTGCTGATCTGACAGGAGGCGGAGCCCAGGTCCTAACAGGCCGTGGACAGGTAGCTGTCTGTTGCCAGGGGTTGGAATCCCCGCTCTACAAAGAACCAGAAAAATGTGGCCTAGATTGGAGGGACAGAACAATCACTGAACACTAACCGAGAAATGATCCAGGTATTGGATTAGCAGACAAGGATCTTCAAAGCAGCTACTCTAAGAAGCTAAATGGAGCAGAGAAGCACATGCTTGTGAAAAAATAAATAAAATCTCAGCAAATAAATCAAAACTACACATGAAAAAACTAAACACAAATTCTAGAATTGGAAAAATTCCAGAAAGAATTTTTTTTTTTTTAATTACTAGATGGGTTCAAAAGCAGAACTTGAAGATACAGCAAAAGACACCATCCCATCTAAACAACAGAAAGGGAAAAAATGAACTTTAAAAAAGAGAAGAAAAAGATTTATGAACCTGTAGAGAGGATGAAATAGAAAAAAATAAAGATATAACAGCCAAAATCTTCCCAAATTTAGAAAAAGATATAAATGTATATGTCAGCAAAACAAATACATCTACTGCATTAAGGTGAAGTCACTGTAAACCAAAAATAAAGAGAAAGTCTTAAAAGCAGCTGAAGAAAAGCAGCAAATTATGTGCAGGGTCATAGTGATTCAAATAATCACTGATTTACCAAAATCTCCAGAGGCCGGAAGACAGTACAAAAATATCTTTTTTCTTTTCTTTTTTAGGCTGAGTTTTGCTCTGTTGCCCAAGCTGGACTGCAGTGGCCCAATCTTGGCTCAATGCAACTTCCACCTCCTGAGTTGGAGCAATTCTCCTGTCTCAGCCTCCCAAGTAGCTGAGATTACAGGCAGGCACCATCATGCCCAGCTAATTTTTTGTATTTAGTAGAGACAGGGTTTCACAATGTTGGTCAGGCTGGTCTCAAACTCCTAAAAAACATCTTTAAAGTGCTACAAAAAGCAAAACTGGTAAGCCAGAATTTTACATCCAATGAAAATAGTCTTGAAGAATGAAAGCAAAATAAAGATATTTTGAGATGAAAGAAAACTAAGTGAACTTGAGAATAGACATGTACAATAAGAAATTTTAAAGACAGTTTTTCAGGCTAAAGGGAAACAGCTGTAGATGGAAATTTGAAACTATGGAAAAGGATGAAAAGAATAAGAAAGATTATGTTTGAATGTAAGTTATTTTTTAACTTGATTTTTTTAAAAACACATCTGAAGCTGGGCACAGTGGCTCATTCCTATAATCCCAGCACTTTGGGAGGCTGAAGCAGATGAACTGCTTAAGGCCAGGAGTTTAAGACTGGCCTGGGCAACATGGCAAAACCCTGTTTCTACAAAAAATACTAAAATTAGCCAGGCATGGTGGCATACACCTGCTCTCCCAGCTACTTAGGAGGCTGAGGCAGAAGGATCGCTTGAGCCCAGGAGATTGAGGCGTGAGTAAGCCATGAATTGCCAGTGCTCCCCAGCCTGAGCAACGGGCTGACCCCATTTCAAAAATATAAAATAAAATAACAAATAAAGTACCCCTGAGTGTTTAAAGCAAAAATTATGACATTATTTTGTGAAGTTTATAATGCACATAGGTATAACACTGAGGTATAATACAACTATAGCACAGGGGATGGGACGTGGGGA